ACACCTCTGGCTAGAGGCGGGAAAATGATGCGTTGTGAAAAAAAAGTCGCACTAATCAAAACTGGCACCGCGTAGATTAAGGGTAGGTCACCAATTTTTTTTTCCGCGTTAATCAAAACCGCGGTATTCGAAACCGTGCTAATCAAGGGATTGCTGTATTGGCATACAGACCATGACGGTGCAAATCTTGCTGGGAGGGAGTGACCTCACAAAACAGGAGCTACACCTCGTGATCAAGGCTGTAATCACCTTTCTCACAAGTACCGGCCGGATGGGGACGTTGTGAAGCTAAAGCCCTGCCAAGTTTACTGCTCTTGAAATCATAGAAACCAGTGACGACTAAGCAAACTTGAAAAGAAGCGTTGAAATTGCCGTGTCCAGGTGTGACAACTGACCTGTTTGGGGTCCTTTACGACGCCTGAAAAAAGATATCATCATCAGTACATCAGATGCTCCCCTCAAGGTCCATCAGTTAGAGCAATGGTACAGCAACAGAGTCTCAAGTGACAGCCCTAGCACTGGTTTTATTCCCATTTGGATTTAGGTATGGTAGAGGTTCTGAAGGATGTGTTCCCATCATTAGCCTTGTAAATATTGTCACATACGGCAGTTTATATTGGCTGCTGGTCTGGTTTACTCCTCTGTCATCATTAGTCTCACTGGCTCTGAGCTGTTAAAAATTTTTCAAATATTACTTTCAACCCTTGGCATCTTGCACAGCTGAGAAAAGAGAACCATTCCACAGTCATCTAATTGTCTGACTACTAGACAGTGTGTCGCTAACTTGCGATGTGCGCCTGAACTCCTATGGAACGTTTCAACGTGTACCGTCAACTGGGGTGACTTTGGCCAAATTACACTAGTTTCTGCTGATCAAATTCCTACAAAATAGGAATGAAGTGTTGCTTGTGATTGTAAATTTGTAAATATATTGCTGAAAGGTTCTTCTTTAAATGTCATGTCTAAATGATGTCACTCTTATCGAAAAATAATTTTATTTTTTTAATTACCGTAAAATGGGGTAACTTAGACCACTTTTTTTATAAATGATGCCATTTTTTTTACTAGCTAAATTAAACTTGAATTGAAACATGAAAAAAACAGGTCTATACTCTAGCTTCACTCACCATAAATTGCTGGCTCCTGCCTCTCATAGTCTTTATGTAATTTCAAAAAAAGTGATGGTCTTTGTTACCCCAGCTCTTGGGGTAACTTAGACTGGGTGGTAAAATCAATTATGTATCTCAAAATATTGAAGTTTGCACTCAGCTTTTTTTTTTCTTTACAGTACTGTGGCATTCAGATTGTGTTGGTCAAGCAGGATATAAAATTATTGAAACAAAACAGTTTCCAATTGATAAGAAAAACTACATTGGATACCATTTTGTTCCAATCACATAACACAACTACAACAGAAACAGATGGCCACAAAACAAAATCATAAACATTGGCCGAAGTCACCCCGGTGGCCAAATTCACCCCAGTTGATGGTACTGAACTAGCTCAATTCTTGCCCAAGGTGCAGTTAAAGGATTAACAGCGACATCATTCACTTGATATTCAGCCACACATAGTCAAATCTGCACACTAATTTAACTGCAAAATATGTTTGGCAGCCAGATGTCCCCACATCTGCATATGACTGGCAAATGCTCATTAACAATCAGCAGCTAACTTGTTATTCCTTAATCTCCTTGCTCAGAAAATCTCGTTTTGTCTCTAATATTTAAGGTATGTCTTGTCTCATAATGTTAATTCTTGTTTCATATCTACCAGTCTCATATTGTTTCATAATTGCCAGGACACAAGTTTTAAAGTCTGGGACACGAGACTTGTCCTGGTTCGTACGTTAATTCTGGGACATATTTTACCCTATGTCCAGGTATTTTTTGTTCCAGAAATTTCTCATCTCGTCCCATTTATCCCGGTTCATTTATAGAAAATTATTCCAAGATGCACGGAGTCTGCTGACCTGTGGCATCTGCTCAATTTTCCAGTAGGGAGATAACAACCTAAACTTATGACAATGACCCCAATGTGTGAAAGCTTAATCCATTGTATTAGTAATGGATGTAAAACAAACTCCTACAGTAGTAAAGACAACAGCCTAATGAAGTATTTTTTATTATCAAAAATATAACCGTAGGCTAGGGCACACTGAACTAAATATTAATGGTAGGAATAAGTGGAGCTAAATCAATTAAAGGAACTGGTGAGCAACAAAGGAAGAAAGTTACTAAAATGCAATGGCCCTATTATGAGTTGAGTAATGGAATAAATATATATCACTCACTTCCTCTCAAGTCATGGTCCAACTAAGTTTTGATGGCTGACTGGTCCATTAATACACAATATGAATTAAAACTTGAAATTGTCATGTTGTGGTGTATTGTATAATTAACATTTATTTTACATATACCCTCCATGACTGTCGTAAAAGAAGAAGAAAGTTTATGAAAATTGAAAATCAGTTTTGTATTATGGATAATAAATTGTGAAGAAATAGGATTCTAGATTATTATTGTTCTAATAATTACCTTTAAGAGATTTACATCTTCTAGAATTTAAAACCATGGGTAATAGCATCTATTATTGGGTAGGTACCATATGTGGCAAACTCATTTGCAATCTTATATTTTATTTTCAGAGCTTTGTTGTGAGTGATGCTTGTATATAACAAGGAACAGATAATTGGTGACCAGCATAGGCATCATTGCCTCAAACACTAACCAGAGGATGCATTGACTCTTCCTGAGCCTTCATTTGTAGATGCTATGTACCTTATGAGTTGACTCCTAAGGGCTAAATGATTGAGACTTTTTATACACTTAATAACTACCTAATATTTATTTATATTTTTTTCCAGAATTATCTCTTAGTTGGAAGTCTATATTTAAAGCAGACTCTGATCATCAGCTTCTGAACTTGCACAGATTTGATATTTGTTTGGCAGAGAACAGAATCGGCCATCATGTCAACAAAGCCACAAAAGATGCCCAAAGTGGCAAAGGTATGTACAAGGAATATTCATTTGTTTTATATACTATCAACTTCTGCTGTGTAATTATAACCTGAATGCTACCAAGAGAAGGCAATGAAAGATAACACCATGATCCACAAATTTTAATTGTTGAAGTAAAAGTAAAAAATAATTTTTTGTGCATTGTAACAACAAGCCTTCCTCCAATCATTGGTTCTCAGAAAAAGTTGTTCCTACTCTCATCTTGCTATTTAAAATAATGTGGTTTAGTCTTGTGCCTTCAGGTGAATACTATAAAATTATTACTGTATTTTACCAGGACTTGCCTATTAACTGTTAGGTATGTTCAGAAACAGTCTATAGATTTAAATTTGTTTACTTGTTAAGTACATGCCTAGAGTTTATATTTTTACCATTATATCAGTTATACTCATTGGCCCTAATAATTGAAGACTGAAATTATTATCCCATTGAATATGCTCTTCCAATGTTATAATTTTGAGTACATATTTCTTAATGGTCAAATTTGTTTCAGGTGAAAGACAAGTCACCAGCAGAGATGCAAATAACTGCTGAGCAGCTTCTTCGAGAGGCCAAGGAACGAGAGTTGGAGATTGTGCCTGCACCTCCAAGACAGAAAATTGCAGACCCTGAGGAACTGCAGGTAATTCTCTTGCTTTGAAGCAATATCTCTGTATTTATGTTTCCAGTGACTCTGAGATACATACGCTGGTACCATGGTACTGATCATGTGGTTCATATTTATACAGTTCAGCATCCCATGAGATTATAGGTATGTGGAAGTTGAATTTTTCACTGACAGACATTTACAGGTCACTGTTTTGTGTTCCAATTGGTTTGAATTTGAAATGAAGGTGTTTGAAATGTTCATTTGTATCAAAAACATGCAAGCCTCATTGTTTAAAGAATAAAATTGACACCTTTGAATGTGGCAGAAAAATATCTGTCAAACAAGAATGTTTACCACAGTGAATTTTTCTGTGAAAATTACGTTTACCCATCACAAATATACTAACACAATGTCATGATTGTATTTCTTTTTCTGATTTCTAATATATTAGCATTCATCTGCTAGGTTATGTTTCTCATTGAAATTTGAAGTATGACGTAGCATGTGACAACTTCAAAAAAAGTATCTATTTGCTTGAAAACAATTTATGCTATGTTTGGCTTCTTGTACTCCCTTTGACGACAACAGGATTAGTTTATCATGTTGGGACTCAATGTGCCTAGTTTCTACATCATTGTTTCTTAACATTTTGATAACACCTATCATGTGCTCATAAACAACTACTCCACAATTGTCCAGAATAAAATACTGTCGGCAAGCAAAAGTTCATTAAATACCGTAAGTCACGGTAGTGAGCAGCTTCATCGTGGTGCAATCAGTCATTTCCTTTATATTGCACGATGTCCAGTTACATCTGTAAGGCTATTATCAACATTATATTTCAATATATTTTAATGGAACCGTAATTAAATTTGATTCATTCATTGCCTGATTGTGTTTTTCCAGGAATATCGACTAAAGAAAAGGCGTGCATTTGAAGACAACATCCGCAAGAACCGCGGCAATGTCTCCAACTGGCTCAAGTACTCCAAATGGGAAGAGGAACAAGGAGAAATACGAAGAGCTCGGTAAGTAGAGAAATTGAGCCTTTTATGCAAGCAACATTAGCATTTATTCTTTGAGTAATCGACCATATCGTTATTTTATTTACAAGCTTTTGTGCCTATGTAGGCATCTCAAATGAGTACTGGCATAACCTTGGACGAATTATTCACTTTATAATGATCCTCAATTTACTATGACACATGGTTCGACTACGTGCGTATGTTGGAAGTCTAATTCACCTATAACTTTTCAAGGGATGTGCTGTATCTTTGTGGAAAATATCCAAGTTAAACGAGGATAGATATAAATGAAAGATCTTTAGTTGTGCTAGGCCTAGCATCACGAGGTTTTTTTTACTATCCATGTTTTTATCTTGGTCAACTTTGTGGAATCTATAATAAATTTGTGAGTTTGAGAATTCCCGCTTGTTGGCAGGTCAGTTTATGAGCGCGCGCTTGACGTTGAGCATCGCAACATCACGCTGTGGCTCAAGTATGCTGAGATGGAGATGCGCTGCAAGCAGGTGAACACAATCTTATGCTTGTAGTTCTCTAGAAGCTTGCAAAATATTGACGACTCACTTTAAATGTTCTCTACTGCTGTATAGTGATGATTTTCATCCGCACATTGTTCTTAAATTTTACTAAGCGCTTCATTTGTGGGCTTAATGGAAGATGTGTTGTGTGTGTTTGTATTACCCATCCTGGTAGTGGCAACTTGGGAAGGGAATGGGTGATTGTTGGTCCCATTTTGATGGATCAGTTTTTCCAATATAGTTCCACGACCATCACTGGCCCGCTGAACAGCCACAACCATTATATTGCATTACACAACACTGTGCCAACCAGGTACCTACTCCTGACATAACAGGCCATGG